TGTTCTGGATTTTTGGTGTTGTTAACTTGTTATTATTTGTGGTTCGAAATGGGTCACCACAATATGTGAAAAAGAAATCACGATCGACGGCTTGGCCATGTATCACAGTTAAAGACAATGTTGACAGTTAGGATACTGGGTTTTCTTCTTACACAACCAAAGTTTCTCACCTGCTTACGTTTCGATGTCTATCAGACACCTTCCTCAGAGCTTCTGACTGGAGTTCTGCAACTCGCAGCTAAGCAGGTGAGAAACTTTTGGTTGTGTAAGAAGAAAACTCAGTATCCTAAGTATCTTTCAACCTGATGAAATTATTTACGGAATGTTGACAGTGATTTTCCCCGCAATGTTAACGTGTCATTGAGATCTTGGGAAATGGGCCTCAAAGTAGAAGAATTATTTTCGTCTTTGTTAAGAAAGTAAAATTTGCAACGTATGGCTCGCTAGTATTAGTGGACTAAAATGTTGGCTATTTTTCTTACCATAGTATGTAGTTGAATCAAATGGTGACCCGTTCGTTTCCTTTATATTGTAAGTGTAGCTGATGACAAACTGTCTGTCTTCAGAGTTTTTGTGTCACGTGAGAAATTCGTCGTTGTTTTATATTACTGATCCAACTGGTCTTTGTTTATCATCCACCATCATTAATGGTTAATGAACACCGAGTTACAGTAGTGGGATTTTGAAGTTGCTCGGTGAAGTTGTTAGGTCACAGTTCCGTATGTACTGGTACATGTACTGGTACATTTACATGTACGTAGTTAGTTCGCCGCCAACCTTTAACTTCTTTAATTGTGTTTTTAATTATTATAAATTTGTTGTGCTTGAAGTCTGCCATACTAGCAAACATGCACCTGTTTAATACCGAGAGACACCATTGTTTATTACATACAAATGTATATATTGTAGATGGTGACTTACGTTTGATTTTTTACACACGTGGGCTGTACCATGACGAACGGCTCACTGTTTGCAACCCATGTCATTATATCTGATAGCATGACCTAGCTACCAGTACTTTCACTTGCGGCTAATGGCCTGAGTGGCTGACAGTGTACTCTAAGCAAGTGATTCTGATTCAGAAGTAAAACAGTCCTTGAGATAATATTTTTCTATTAGTATCGTGGTGAAATGCCGGTGAAAATATTAATTAATTTGCTGCCAATTTGCTGACTTCACTGTTCTTGTTCTTTGAATTGTGTGATTCATTCAGT